GATCGGCGACGGCAAGATCTTCGTCCTCCCGATGGACGACTGCATCCGCATCCGCACCGGCGAACGCGGCACCGAGGCGATTTAGGAGCGGTTAGCTCTTAGCGGTTAGCTGTTAGCCAAGTGGCGACGGCAAAGCCGCCGCTCCTTCCTTCTGCTAACGACAAATCGCTAACCGCCAACCGCTCCCCATGTCCGCCCCGCGTCAAACGAAGTCGTTCTTGATGAGCAAGCTGCGGGAGATCGGCGTCGAGCCGAACTCCCGGCACGGGCAGAACTTCCTGATCGATCTGAACCTCGTTCAGATGATCGCCGACTCGGCGGACCTCGGCCCGCGCGACGTGGTGCTCGAGATCGGCACCGGCACCGGCTCGCTGACAACTTTGATGGCGCCACTGGCGAGTCATGTCGTCACGGTCGAGATCGACGGCAACCTGTTCGAGCTCGCGTCGGAGCAGCTGCTGCGGTTTGACAACGTCACCCAACTGCGTGTCGACGCGCTGCACAACAAGAGCACGTTCGCGCCCGAGGTGATGGACGCCGTCGGCGAGGCGCTGCGCGGCACGCCCGACTCGCGGCTCAAGCTCGTGGCGAACCTACCGTACAACGTGGCGACGCCGATCCTTTCGAACCTGCTCTTGTGCGAGCACACGCCGCACTCGATGGTGGCGACGATCCAGAAAGAAGTCGCCGATCGGATCGTCGCCGAGCCTTGGAGCAAGGACTACGGCGCCCTCTCGGTGTGGATGCAGAGCCAAGCGACGACCGAGATTGTCCGGATCATGTCGCCGAAGGTCTTCTGGCCGGCGCCGAAGGTCGAGTCGGCGATCGTACGGATCGTCGTCGATCCCGAGCGCCGCGCGGCGATCCCCGACCTCAAGTACTTCCAGCAGATCGTCCGCGCCCTGTTCCTCCACCGCCGCAAGTTCCTCCGGGCCAATGTTGTTTCGGCGATGAAGCGGCATCTGACGAAAGAACAGATCGACGCGGTGCTCGACGAGATGGGCTTCGCCCCCGACACCCGCACCGAGCAGGTCGATATCCTCGCGCTGCAAGCCTTCGCGGAGAAGCTCCGGCAGCTCGCACCGGATTGGACGCTGTAGCGGGGGAAGGACCAATGACCAAGCCCCAATGACCAAGGAAGGAGGGGTCAGAGGACTGGAGTCAGGGGTCATTAATCAGGTTGAAGATTGTTAAACCGCTCGTGCGGCAGCACGCCATTGGTCATTGCACCGCCCGGTCTCTTGGCGTTTCTCGATTTCCGCCGTACGCTGACGGCGCCCCCACCGCAGACGGAGACCCCCACCATGGCGTTTATTGAGATGACCGGTCAGCAGCTCGATAAGCTGCTGGTTGAGGACGAGTTGCACCACGACGACCTCGTCGCCGCCGGCGTCAACGAGGCGACGATCGTCCGCGTCAACCGTGAGGGGGACATCGAGGTCCGCCGCCCTGAGGGGTGGGAAGTCGTCGGCGGTTTGATCGGCGAGTTCGACGAGCGGATCCGGAAAGAGACGGGCC